TAAAGTGTAAACCATGATTATACTCTCAGACCCCTATGTACCCCCTGAGAAGTGCAAATGTACCCCAGGTTGGGAATGTCTGTCTAACATATAACAACTGAAATGGACTACATATGCCTTTGCAGAATATGTCACTCTGTACGATTTTACACACATTGTTTTTGTGTTTATTTGACATAGTGAGTTTTTCAGACTACTAGATGGTGATATTAAAATACTCAAATGATCAACATTGTATAATACACAATTAAAATTGTATTTAAAAACCAATCAACGGGTATAAAAGACACTCTACATAACATACAGGTCAATGACCTACTAACAAGCTATAAATACTTTGGTTATTGTCTTGTAATTCACTCCTGAGGATGACGTTGTAACGTCGAAACATGTAGAGTCGTCAACTTTTTGAAGGCCATAGCTAGGTCTAAATGAAATGTTTTTAATTGTGTACCAGTTTAAAGTTGAATATTGTTTATGATTTTAACTTTATACACAAGTGCCAAAATACTATAATTTTGTTATGAATGTTAATTAAACACAGTTATGTAATTATGACATTATCTTTGTTTTAACTTTACCTATTTATTCATATTATATTTAACTCATTTCTGAAGGCAATTTGACATTGTGAACAAATATTATAAAATACTGAAGAATGGAGGCACTTGCCACTACTTGTAGTGGGCTTAATTTCAGTATTTGATGTGAAAAACAAGTTTGCAATTCTTATACACTTCCTCAATAGAACCAGTACTCTGCTTCTGTGATAAGACAAGTGTAAAAACATATATCTGTGAGATAACAGTGTTCACTGATCAGTGAAGCCATTGTCAGGAATACAAGCATGGACATTCACAGGTGACAAATTATTCTTGAGTACAGAGGTGAGTGCATTCACAGTTTTTAATGTAAAAAAGTAACATTTATGTATTGTCTGGATAAGATCTTTTTCTTTTTTTATGCCCTGATTTGCTGTGACACTTAACCTGCATTGCTAACTGGTCTTCTGGGGCATCAGAAACTGAATCAAGTTGGAGTTTTTAATAATAACTTTTTTTACCACTGGGTTCCTCACTTTGAACCAATAACTAGCTTATGAACCTGACCTCCAACACTTAAATTGGAATACTTTTAACTCACTGTGTATGATGACTAGGTCCTAGCATCTTTAATTCAAGTAAAGGCCCTGCATGATGTGACATGTCAGTCAGGCCTAAGCAAGAGACTCCAGTCAGTGGAGAAGCCCACAGAACTATAAACTGAGCAAACCACTACTATTATGGCCCCACTACTTTATCCTTGGCTCCTCTTTAACCAACCCCTGGGAAGTCGTCATCAGCTGAAAAGGAGTGTCAAGCTCCTGTACTTTGCCTGGTGAAAGGCTGCTCCAAAATAGGTGTGAGGTGACTTCCAATCTCCAATGGGACCACCTCATCCCCAACCCAAAATAAGATTTCCATACCCTCAAGAAATCAAGAAGGAAGAATAACAGCCATAAACAGAAGGAACAAGCTAATCAAATGTCTAATGTGGCTAGCATCTCAACAGGTGTTTTATAAATACTATCAATAGCAATCATGGAGACCGTGAACAAAGGAACCATCTAACATTGAACTTAACATATGAATGGAAGCCTGGGCTTTATGCCAAAAGGAGTTCAACAGTCACTATAACATGAAGAGTAGCATAGCTTGCCAACTTGAAAATTGCTGGCTGCAGTAGGAGGTCTCCCAGCTTTGGAAGAATGTGCAGAGGGCTAAAAATTTGTGCTTTGAGCTTTTAGATTATTAAATTAATACTGGTCTTACTTTATTGTCATCCTGATTTTATTTTATTCTAGATTACAATTTATTTATATTCTTTATTTTCATTTTTTTTTTTGTTTGGCTGCATTTATGCTTAATTAACAGTAGTTTCATAATTTGAAGAGTATGAGCAATATTCAGACTATATTTTCTAAACTACTAACAAATCTAGTCACTAAAACAAACCTCTAGTACTTGACAGGTATACCTTAATACCATTTGAGGTGTGTTACTCTTGTATTTATTTATAGCCTACACACTCTTAAAACATTTTTCTACTAATGCAACTAAAGATCAGTTTATGTTGCCATGTTAGGAGGTAACTTACCAGTTTCTGTAACTTTTTTGTCTGATGGTTCATCATCAAGACCTTCAATAGGGGAATAATCTGGAGTGATCACCCTTGGAGTACGAGATGTAGCCATGGTTACACTTTAGGACAACGTTTTTCCTATGAAAAGAGTAATAAAACAAGTGAAAAAAAATAGATAGGATAATTAAATGGAAGAAACATGAATAAAATACCATATGTTAACTAAAGGGAGAAAAAAGGACTGATATTTTTTCAGTACTAACAACATACTACACACTGGAAAAATCAAAAAATACCAGACTAACTTGAAAGATATTGATACACGGTGATATTTAAAAAATAATAATCATTGTTTCTGGGGGAAGATGTAGCATAAAGGAAGAAGACTCATCACAGGAAAATTTGAACATGAGAATTCAAACTTTTAGAAAATTCAATAAAAAGCAAATGATTGTGAGATTGCAATACTTTAATAATATTAGAATGTTGGCTATAATGAGATGTCAAATAATAGGGTTCATACAGGATTGGCAAGAAAACATTCAAGGACTTTTTCAAAGACTTTCCATTTTCAAAGACCATTGATGTTACTATGAGAGCATGAAAGCAGAATTCACACTATCATGAAGGCCACTGTTTTGAACAATATGATTATAATTATGCTCTATATTGACAACTGGGGACACAGTAGTAATATCTAGAACTAAATTTGGGAAATGAATAAAAACAGTATTTAGAAAAAAATATTGGTATAATTCTGATGATTCAATAAAAATTTAATATATGTACTAATGAAGCATCAAAGAATAAAGAATAAATCCACACTATATATTACATTGAATCATAAGTTTGGAATTGATAAGGTGGAGGGACTGGTGAGAGCATTATCCATACTGAAAGCATCTGCATAGATCATGGGTGTGTCAATAGAAGATTGGCACCCTAATGGGAGAATTGCATTACATACAGAAAAGGGATGCTTTTCACCTGGAACTTAATTCATGTACCGTGGGTGGAATTTTACATGATTTGTCATCACTACTGGCCAGGTCCCAACCAGATAGACTCATCTGGGCCAGAATTATAACATACTTATGAGTAGATCCCAACCTGTGGCCATAGAGTGATGCGTTTCAAGCCACCTATATCACGATGAGAAAAGACCCACCTACGTAAAATATTTTCTCAGTGGAATGGCATTAATATCAAGAATGACCAAGATTGATTTTTTGAAAAATTTCACCCATGATTTTCAAATTTTATGAAAAACATATCACAAATCTACCTCTGGATTTTTGCAGACAAGTTCTGTATTTTGATGCCGATGGCAGAAGATTTAATGCCACTTCTCTCAACAAAACTAAAAAGTTATTCATTTGACTGTCTTGCATTCTCTATATACAAATGCTTTTTTGACTTTATGCAACTTTTCAGTGCAGCTTCACCCGTAGCAGCAATGTCAAAACTCTTCGGACACAATTTGCATCGTGCCTTGTGTTCACACCTGGAAACACAAAGCAGCCAGTTTTTGTAGAAATCATTTAGAAGCTATCCATCATTGAATTTACATTTACCAGGCATGATATTATAAATGAAATAATCTATAAAATATAAGAATTCATCAAACATGCCTAGATTCACAGAATAATGGGTTCAATATAGACTACATCATGGAAAAAGATATTATAATTTGCTTTAAAGACAAAACCTTTTTTTCTAAATATCCTTACTATAATTAAATCTAAACCATATTAGGTGTTAGCAGGTTAAACATAGCTTGTTGTTAATTATATAAATTTTTTAAATTCTTTTTTTAACAATTTGGCACTTGCTGCATTCAAGGAGCCTCTATACACAAATAAATATTCAATAGAATGTACACACGTAGATCTATATGGTGTGCACATGTGCATGACATGGTGTACTGGTATAATGTAGGCACACATTAGCCTATGTGATTAGGTTGTGCCACATGTAATGAATAATAAAAAGCATTCTGTCTAGGGTTAGCCAACAATTCTGCACATTTATAAAAACAAATAGTTGCTCATCTATGTACTCGGGTAAAGCTGATTTCAGCTCAAAATAAAAATCAAGTACTTTCAAAACTTTTACTGAAAATCTACAAGCACTTTGAAGATGTTGAAAAAATTAAACAAAATTCAAGCACCTGTGCAAACCTTGGACAAGAAGGGAAGAAAAACCTCTGAAAAAGACTCTAGGAACTATTTTTTGTATCAGTAGCAGAGCTGATATTTAATCTATCTTTCTAATATTAAGACAACAAAAAAATATGAAACAGGAAGTGAAAAGCTTTACAATAAGTTGTAATTATACTAACAGACATAAATATATTGCCAAAAGAGATGAAAACAGACTGTTAAGTGTTAAAGAAATACTTGGTAGATTTTCATTTTTAAAGCCACATAACTTTTAAGGATTGAAGTATGTGTCATTTCTGGTGATTTTTAATATTTTCTAATATAACTACTGTATATACGTTTTCTTAGATTAATAAAAGTGGTAATAGTTTCAGATTATCAAAATCTTACATCCAAAATAGATGGGTATAGACTAATGTACATGTTAAAGGAATGCCTCAGTTTTTCTTTTTAAAACCACATAATTCTTAAGTATTGAAATATGTGCCATTTTTGGTGTTTAAATATACTGTATATATCTTTTTTACTATCTACTATCTTGCTGTCCGAGTGGTTGGAAAATAAACCTTCTGTCATATCTGATACAAGATAAACATACTAAAATTACACAGAGGTTAGTACGTTATAAAAATTGATTTCCCAGTTTCACTACACCATTACAGTCCATGTCACCATGACCAGTCATACTTTATCAGACAGTCATGCATCTTGACAATAGCCTTGCTGTGTAGTTTCCATTGCAAAAGCCTATCATTTCAAAAGCACACCACTACTTTCTTCTTGCTCTCCATAACCCATCTAGTGTATGAGGTCAACAGATTTCCAATGCCCATTTCAACATATAATCATACAGAAGCCCATACGCACTGTGTCTGGCAACTTGATTAGTATGTTTAGCTATAAATTAGCAAAAATACTAGTTTAATTTTTCAGCTGCTTTGGATATGCAACTGTTGAACATATATGATGAGAAAGCAATTTCTGTACATGTGACTTGTGCAACTTTTCCAGGAGATCCTTCTTAATTATGTTACCTAGAACATGTAGATAGCTTTTGCTATTGACTTGTGTGTTTGTGGATTCTCATCTGTTATAAGATTCCATACTTTGCTTTCCACAGCTGTTTCTTTCTGGATGCTCCATATTCCTCTGTTTTTCAATACCAATATGTGTAAGGAAATTCTGAATCATCAGTCTGAAATGCATCTTTATGATCTAAGTGTATGGATATTTTGCATTGGAAAGGGCTGTTACATGTCCTTCCCAACAGCAATCAACTTATAGTGATATCATACTATGTATGAAAGCCAAACAATGTCAAAACGTAGTTCTGAAGTATGCTGTTTCATGGCAACTTTAAACCAGCTGTGGTTGTCACATGACTTTCTGGTTTACATATTCAAGAATCATTTTAATATAATGCACTCAAACCACTGTATAAAGTAAAGTCATGAAATATAACTTTGAAACTAAGTAAAAGGCCATATACTTCATTTGATTTACTTACAAGTTTAGATGATGCACATTTATTATATATTATTACAAAGAACTTTCGAGTGAAAATAAAGTGTACAATAATTATAATTAGCTATGACCTGAAGATATGAATTGTTTTAAAATTCTTCCGTCAGTGGTCCCCATCAGAAGCAATACCACTAAAATTATTTCTGTCAATTGTATTATCGTGTAGCAAGCATTCAATTCAAAATATTTAATTTTCTATACAATTTAAGTAGGTTTACACTTCTTTCTTAATAAACAATCACCATTTGCTTAATGCTTGTGCAAGAAACTTCTGCTAACTTATGCATTTCAATATTACTGCCACGGCTATGAGGTACCTCTACATATACATCTATAGCTAAGCGAACTTTCAACATAGCACAAAAGTTTGAGATACATTTAAGATGTGAAAGAAAACATCTAAAACAGACACACTAACAGAAATGTGAATATAAATACAAATCATCTCAATAACTTAAAAGACAAGACAGAAAATCTGTTATGTTGCTTTGATAAATGACAGTCAATGAACAATTACTTACTCTTTTCAAACATAGTCTTAATTTTTCATAATCATAAGTTCATGAATCTGTTTAATTTTAATTAAAAAATTTTCTTCATGTATAAAAACTGCACATAAGAATAAAATGTAGAAAGTTACTGAAAAATAAGTTTTAAACAGGAAAATATGTTCCTCATGCAGAGCCTGAATAAGCTGGTCCATAAATCATGAAACACTATGGGACCTAGTTTTAGTCACTAAAAAACTGCATAAATTATTTTCACTGACTATAAATATCTTGTACCAGTCAGATAATTTGTCATTCATGACATATTTCAAATCAGAATTTGCTTTATTGTGCTTGGCAAGATGTATCAATGATGACACTGAACATTTCCAACAAGCTTTTCATTTTCATTAATTATAGTTATCACCAGTATTAGACCTATACAACTATTACATTTTGAACATTCCATTCTTTATCCAGTCATATCCATTAGTGATGATGTACTCTGCTCAGTACAGAACACTGTTTATATTTGCCATTTGTTACAAGAACAATTGTTATGGTGTGAATATTTTTTCTAAACCGATAAAGAACGATTGTTATTGATCATACTTGACATCAAACATTAGTATTAGGCCTATTTTACTTTTTTAACACTACATTCTTTATCCAGTCCCTTAGAATTTTTTCATGAAGAAGAAGAGTGTATAATAGTACTTCAACCACATTATGTCCACCACATCCATTGCCGATGATGCACAGCTCATCAGGTTGGCTGGGGTACAACAAATATGGTAGTTCTCTAAAAGGCCAGATGTACAAGAGCCATAAGAAGGCCCCAGCAGAATCCAGGGTGAAACGCCTTTAATATGCACAGGTTGTGTGTTTTATGTATTAAATAAACTGGAGTACATCAAGGATATCATCATTTCCAATCTCGTTGACAAGCAGAAAACTAACCATT